CTGTAATTTGAATAATACGGCATCGCGGGGTGTGGCGCGCTGTGGCGCACGGTGGCACACTGTGTGGCACTGGGACCCGGAATCGCGAGCGGAGAAGATTGATTGATAAGGCCGCTGGCGAGGTTCCAATCAAAGCCAGGAATATGGAAATGCCCGTGGTGGTGGTGGTTTGGGGGAGGGGGGGCGGCTTCACCTTTCAGTTCAGACGAGCCGGTGTGCTTTATGCCAAATCGCCAGCTCGACACGAAAAACGCTTGTCGCCACAGGGCCGCGAGACACTCCACGTAGCTACGCCGGGATCGTGTGCACAGGTCTGCGTGCCAGCCGTCGACTGGAAACTTCCCTTGGCTCCCTCCTCAAATAATCGGCGCCCAAAAAATTGTTAATCAATCCGATGTGAGCCCGGAACGCGCCACCGCCCGGCGCACTGATCCACCACGCCGGGAAGCTTTCCTTCGCACCGTCTTGGCGTGGACGCGGTGCGCGGGGCTGCCCCGGCCGCCACCTCGGTCGGCCGGGAAGTGCAGGTGGAAAGGAGGGCGGGTATCACGCCGATCTGGGGATGGAATTACCGCCACCGCCGTGCAGCCAATCAGGGGGCGGCGTCGGTGATCAACCGCTTCATGAATACCCGGCACGGTACCGCGAGCGCGGCGAGCGCGGCGAGGACGGCGAGGACCACGGGCGGCCTGACGGCCTGCTCGGCCCCGCCCGGGCCTGCTGGGCCTGCTGGGCGAGAGCCAGGCTTCTTCATTATTCCAGGTGTGGCTCCCGTGGCCCGCCAGCCCCGCCAGCCCCGCCAGCCCCGCCAGCCCCGCCCCCTCGGCCCGAGATGTTATCGCCGCAGTCATTGCTGCCCGTCCTCATTGTTATTTGCCGGCCGCGACCAGCATTTAGAGAGGAATCACTCACTGCCGGGAAATGTCACCTTGCGCGGTTCCAACGACCCAAGACTGTCCTTTTGAAAACGCGTTTTCGTAAACGTTGCGCAGGGACAGGAAAATGATGAAGCTGCTTTCTTTTTCATGCGTCGAGATTGGGCCTAGTCGTTGATTCGGCCGCGGTTCTTTTGCCGCCATTTTGCGTGACGTGGATCGTCTGGCGGTCGGGCGGGGGAAGGGGCGCGGCACGCGGTGCACGCGGCCCGGCAAGTGGCGTGTCCGAGGGGCTGTTCGCACGACTGATTACCTGTGCTAAGTGCGCCCGTGTGCGTGTGTATGTGTGCGTGTAAACACGAGTTCGACCACCTCGGCGGACCTCTCCGGCCGCGGCGGGGATCTGCCGAGGGACTGCAGCAATGCGGCGGCAATGCGCTTCGCCTCCAGTTTTCCGGAAAATGCGTTGTAAAGTGCGCGGCCGGTGCCGAGGCGGTGCGGCAGGCCGGCAGTGTCGCCGCTACACCAGATCGGCCGCGTGATCAAACACCAATTACCTTAATTTGTTGCAGGCGGCTTCGGCTCTCCGCTCGGCGTCGCGACGCGGCGGGCGCGTAAAGTTTGACCTTCTCATGTTGGCGGCACTGCACTGCCGTGGCGGCAGCGCGCGCCGCAGGGCAGTGCCGCCAGCGGAATAGCAAAACAGCAGTCCGATTCCGAGAGTCGTTGTCGTTGCGCCGTCTCGCTCGCACCCAGGCGGGACGCCCTATGAGTGCGAGGGAGACAGAGCGACAAAACGGAATCAGTCTGCCGATCGTGGTGGTGGCCGGGGGGAAGTCCTCGGCCATGCGACGACGCCGACCACGACGACGCTGACGACGAGACGACGCCGACGACGCGCTGCGAGGCACGCCCCTGGGCCTCGGCCTGCCGGGCCTGCAGACTCATTTCGAGAGTCGTTCTCGTCGTTGTCTCCCTCGCACCCTCGGGGCGTTCATATGGGTGCGAGAGACACAGTCTGCTCTGCTGCCGGGCCTGCCGGGCCTCTCCCAAGCAGACGCGGCTCATTGCCGGGCGACCGCATTAACTGTTAGGTTAGGTCAGTCGGCACGGGATGAGATGCCCTCATCTGATAAACTTGACCTTGTGTAGGGCTGTGTAAGTGCGAGCGTGCACTGGCGTGCGTGCATGTGTGTGTGTGTGTGAATCGCTGTGTGTGTGAATCGCTCTGTGTGCGCGCCTGCCAGATAAGGCACCGTGCTTTCCCACGCAGCGCGGCTACCTTGCACACCGCGCAATGAAACTGCAGCCAACTGCAGGGAGCTGCAGCCAGGTGACACTCTGTCGCAACACGAGCAGGGCGGTGCAGGGCGGTGCAGGGCTTGCAGGGCGGTGCCGAAATGCCATGCGCGCTCCAAGACTGTCTGCCTCTCGAGACCGCCGGGGTGGCGATTCCTTTGGCCCCCTCGGCACGCATCGGCCCGGCGCAGCAGCGCAGCTTAGCGAAAAGAGGCGAAAACATGCACCCATTGTCCTGAATGCCCTGCAAGGTGGGGCCCGGGAGCACACGTGCGGAGGGCCCGCCTTATTCGACTTGATTACACGTGTGTGCGCGCGCGCGTCGGAGTCCGTCTGTCTACCCGTCCATCAACAATATCCATTGGTTTTTGCCTAAAATGAGATTTTCATTCTTCATTGGAAATTGATGAAAAATATTTGTTAACGCAAGTGAAAGTAGACGAGCAGGACTTTTTGACATGCCAAAAAAGCACCCCGCACAATTTTTATTCACAATTATTTTCTTCTCATACTACCCCGTAGAAGAAAACCAATCGAGTTCTGCTTTGATTAACGTTCGTTGAATGAGATTTTTTTTTTTAAAGAGTCCTGCCCGCCTGTCGTTCTTTTCGTGGCGTTCGCTCCCATCGGCCAGGGCCGCGGCGTTGAGGGGTTGCGTGCGGAAACGCAAATATTGCGGCGGCCGGCCTCACCTGTTCCTGGGTTTGTCTGGCGGTGGCAGGGCCGGGCAGGGCCCGGCAGGCAGGGCAGGGGGCGCCTTGCCGCGTGCGTGCCGCGTGCGAATCGCGTGCGCTGCACGTAATTTGCACGGCGTTGCGGTCGCAGCTATTATTGACGGCCCTTATCGGCGCGACTGGCCGCAAGGAAAAAAGGAAGAGGACAGGAAGAAGATTAATCCGGGCGGGGAAAGTCTGGGCTGAAGACGAGTTTCCGAGAAAGCCGTGCATTGTCGCGCTCTTCGCGCTTTGCCTCGCTTTGCGTCGTCGGCTCCCTGGAAAAAAGCGGTCCGCTTAGCGCGTCGGTGGCCGTCGCGGCCGTGCTGGCCGTGCTGGCCGAGCTGTGCGTGTCAATGTGTGAACACCGTGAACACGCGGCAGTGCTTCCTGGAAGCGCTGGAAGCGGAGGCCGCGCGGAGGCGAGCCGCTAATGAATTGTTTAAAAAGGTTGGCCGCGCGCGCACCGCGGCACGGCGAGGCTCGGCGGGGCACGCCGCGGAGAAGGGCAGTCCGAAGGGAAGCCGGCAACAGACCAATAATTTACCGCTATCAATAACTTGGCGTTGTGTGCTCGCCAGCCTTTCTCCACTCTCGGCGATTCGTGTATGAGCGAGAGCAGTATCGATTGGCGCAGGCAGTAATTGCGGCCTTCCCTGTCAGGCTTCCAGGTACGCGGCGACATGTTGGGGCGATTGATGGGGTGCTCAATGATTGGCGCCGCGGCCGGAAGCGGTGGCGGCAGCGGCCACCCCTTTCCTGGAATCTGCCGCGAGCCCGCGGTGACAACGGCCAGCCTCGCGCCCCGCAGCCAGTCGCCCCGCCATTTGTCACACAGAGGCCGCGGCGCTAGCGTCGCTACCAGGCTCTGTCTCACTCTCTCGCGGCCCCCGCGGCGCCATTCCGGGCGATTTGGGCCGATTGCCGTGCGACCGCTGCCGGACTAGGAGCCACCGCCAGCGAGGCTCGCGGGGACGTGGGCGTGGGAAGGCAGCGAATCGCGGCGTGTACGTCGCGGGCCGCGGCGAAATCGTTTAGCGTGCGTCTCTCAACAAGGTTTCCTCTGTCGCGGGGCCGGGCCGCCGCGCCGGGTCGTGGGGGCTCGCCGTCGTAGACCAATTGACGGGGCCATCCGGGCTGTTGTTTCTTCCGGTAGGGCGGCTCGCACGCCTCGCCTCGCCGCGCCACGGCACGACGCAGCACGCCACGGTACGCCACGCCGCGGCTCATGTCCACCAACGCGCCGGCGGTATTAACATGTCTCCCGAAATTAATTCGAGTCACGACTCCTACCGCGGGAAATGTGTGACTCACTCGGTGGTGCCAACTGTGGGGAACAAAAGGGGACACACATGTAAGTCATCGTGATGTAAAGTTTACGAAGCTCGACGCCCCGCCCCGCCCCGCCCCGCCCCGCCCCGCCCGAGTGTCGCCGACCCGCTGGACGTTTTGTTTGCGCGCTTCACATCCGCCTGCTTGACCGGCCGAGCGGCCACCACAATACGTATTAAATTTGAGGCCGACAGCAGCGGTTCGAAATTTCTTTGGCGATTAACATAATCCATGCATATGCAGGGCACATATGCCGGTCCCGCGCGGCCCTCGGCCCAAGCCTCGGCCCAAGCCTCGGCCCCCCGACGGGCCGTCCGCAGCGTCGTTGTCAGATGACACGACAAAGACACAGGGGGAATCGGAATTATTTGGCGCCGTGATTGTGGACACTGTAACGTGACTCCGTCTGGGCCGCGAGCCCCGCGTCAGCCACGCCGTGCGCGGTCCGCCCGCTCCGGTCCGTGCCGTCAGGGAGACGGGAGACAGGGGTGGCCTGCTGCTGGCCGGGCCTTGGGCCGGGGCGGCCGGGGCCACAGGAAGTGCGTGTAGGAGTCTGCCGGGAGCCGCGCCTGATAACTGCGTCATTTCGGGTCACGACGGTGAGGCGGTGCGGCGGTGCGGCGGTGAGCCACTTGGACGGGCATTGTATTGTAATGCGGCGGGCGAGGCATCCTTCACGACACGCGCGACGCGCAGCGCGCACAGGAATGGACTCATCGGCTGCTTTTGTTTAAATATATTTATTTTAATTTGTGTGCGTGGCTCACGGGTGCTGTCGCTGCTACCTCGGCCAGAATTTGTCCGCCAGCCAGGAGAGCCAGCCGGGGGCGGCGGGGCCGGGCGGCAGGGTGACTCTGCACTCCAGGGTGACGCCGCCCCCGCAGCCCGGTCTGCCTGCCCCGAGGCCTGCCCCCAGCCGCGTGACGGCGTCCCAGTCCAGCACCAGGCACCGCCCTGCCTCCACGACGGGCACCAGGGTCTCCTCCTGCGCCACGACGGGCACGGTGGCGCTCACTGTCTGCAAGGGCAGTAATACGTGCTGAAAAAAAATGACTCTGTCTGCTGGTATTTGAACCCGGGTTCCTCCGGGTCTCGGTCCCGCTCGCGAGGCGCACGCACCAACTGAGGCTTTGCCTTGCTCCTGACGGTGAGGGTGCAGCAGTGCGGGGGCGGCCTCAGCCTGCCGGCGGAGAGCTGCCTGCTGAGGACGGCCACCCTCCCGGGCAACTCGTCGACGTGGACCTCCAGCACGAACACCTCGGCGCCGATCAGGACGGCCAGGGGCTGGGGCTGGAACTGCATCAAGGACTGCGCCTCGCCTTTCTTGTCTAGATCCGCTCCCTCGCAGTCCTTGCTGGAGATAGAAAGCAGGATGTAGGTCGCGGCACTTGAGTGGAGCGCCCTCGTCCACCCGACTCGCAGCGAACAGCGTCGCCCGCCCCGCCGACCTGAGACACACGGTATCGTCCAGCGCGGCGGTCCGCGTCTGAAGTGGGTGCTGCTCCAGGCAGTGTCCGGGCACGCGCTGGAACGGCCCGGTCCAGGGGCACGGCTGCAGCGGGCACGGCCCCACGTTGAACTGGCACTCCAGCAGGTGCGTCTCGCGGTCCGGCACCTGGGCGACGACGACGACCTCAAGGCTCGGGGAAGCAAGCGGTGCCGTGCCGCGCGGACGCACTGGCGCACCTTGATGCTGGCGGTGCACTGCTCGTGCACGCAGCGCAGCCGCAGCGTGCGCGCCAGGAGGTCCAGCGCGGCGTGCGTGCTGAAGGACAGCGGGCCGCGGCACAGCGGGCAGGACGACACGCGCGTGCGGCACGCGTTGCACACGCAGTGCCCGTTGACGCACTGCCGCACGGGGGACTCCATCGTGTCCACGCACACGGGGCACTCGAGCTGCGCCAGCGCCACCAAGCCCTCGGAGGCGGACAGGGCGACGCCCTGCGGCGCCTCAACGCGCTCCTCGACGCCGTGGCCGTCGTGCTCCAGCTTGGCTCTCTTGGCGGCCGTGGCGTCATCGCGGTCCTCGGCCGGCGGGGGTCGCTTGCGGAGGGCAGTGAGCAGGCGGGCCAGCGCCTCCACCTAGACGACCGGGACTGGGGCGTTACGCGGGCGATACCCCGGGCCGAGCGTCGCGGCGTCGCCGTCAGCGCGGAGTATCGCCGCGCCCGTCATGCACTGGACGGGCCGGGCGGACTGGACGGACCATCACGGGACGAGCACGTCAGGGGGCCATGGGGAAAGCAGCACGGCGATGGAGAGGCCTGGGCTGGGCACGGCAGCACGGCACCTCGCGCAACAATCGCACATTGTTGGGGCGGCCCAGCCCCGTTGGGGCAGCGCCGTCAGAGTGAATGAGTGAACAGCGCAACACGCCCCGCGTCGCCCCGCCCGGTGAAACGCAGAGAAACGCGGACACATTTTTCTCACAAAACGTCTTCGGCATGTCTTGGCGTGTCTTCTTGTCGGTGTGACGCGAGGTGCGCTGCGCGAGGCGCGTTGCGTTGGCGGTTGCGGTGGATTACTCCGCCAAATTACGGGGCCAGGGCTGCTGGGGCGGGGCGGCGGGGCGCGTCGCGTCGCGGGGTGGCTCTGATTTACACAGCGGGCCGCCTGCAGCTCATGGCCCCGCCGAGGGCCACTTCATTAAGGCGAGGAGCAGCGGGGCTGCGGCGCGCCCCGGAAACGCTGCTGCAGGTGAGGCGCGGAGTCGAGGGGGTGAATAACGTTTGACGGCCCTCTTTTGTCCGACCTGGCCAAGTTTTGCCCGGCCTTGGCCCGCGTTTCGTCCGACCTATTCACACCGCCTCAGGAGGCTGCAGCTGGAGAGCGATGCCATACCAAGACACGGCCGCAGGACAATTTTTTTGTTTTCATGATTTTGTTTCTCTTTTAAAAAAATTTCAAACATTTTAACACGAAAATGTGCGGAAGAGAAAAAGAAATTAAAGAAAATTTCAGCGAAAGAGGGCACCCCGGCGAACCGGCCCTCTTCCCTGCGGGAGTGGTGCTCACCAGACAGTTCCCCCATCTCACCACAGGAGCAACCTCAGAGTTAAACCGCAGTGGCCCCGTCATTGGTCACGTCATCTGTGATGTGGAGGAGTCCTCTCATAGTAGGCCAGGCTGCCACCTTTCCCAGTAGTCGGGTTTCGATCCCCGGCCCCCTTCCCACTCAGGGGCCATGCTACTGGTACTCAGGAGTCTGCGTCACCCTGCCCACCCGTGTGGAACGAAAGTCTGTAAAGTTGTCGTAGTTTTGTCGTTATTCTCACGATGAATTAACATCAAATACACTTCGTAACTACGACGAAATAACGTCAAACTGAGCGTCAAACGCGTTTGGCGTTAAACAGCAGGTAAATTTGAAGTTTTTTTGTCGTTAAAGTGGTCCGTTTTACGTCAAAAAAACTTCAAAATGACGGTGGTCCATGGAGCAGCGAGCCAAAACAGAAGCCTACCCGCCGAGTATCGAACCGAGACCCTAGCCCACCAACGCGTTGGAGGACAAGTGTCGGAGTTCGAAGCCGCTCGGCCAAAGCGACTTGTGGCGGTCGGAGTGCATCGACGCGAACTGCTTCGCCTCGCGCTTCCCGCTCTCGCATTTTGTCGCAGCAACTTAGAGCACTTGATCTAAGTAACGCTACTTTTGGGGTTTGAATCAGCTGGTGTTACATAACACATTCCAGCACGGTAAAAACGATTCCTGGTTTCCCATGAAACGTATGGTAAAGGGATTTCCAGGGAGTTCCTTGGAAAACCAGGAACCAGGTAGTGTTACTTAGATCAAGTGCTCTAAGTTGCTGCGACAAAATGCGAGAGCGGGAAGCGCGAGGCGAAGCAGTTCGCGTCGATGCACTCCGACCGCCACAAGTCGCTTTGGCCGAGCGGCTTCGAACTCCGACACTTGTCCTCCAACGCGTTGGTGGGCTAGGGTCTCGGTTCGATACTCGGCGGGTAGGCTTCTGTTTTGGCTCGCTGCTCCATGGACCACCGTCATTTTGAAGTTTTTTTGACGTAAAACGGACCACTTTAACGACAAAAAAACTTCAAATTTACCTGCTGTTTAACGCCAAACGCGTTTGACGCTCAGTTTGACGTTATTTCGTCGTAGTTACGAAGTGTATTTGATGTTAATTCATCGTGAGAATAACGACAAAACTACGACAACTTTACAGACTTTCGTTCCACACGGGCAGCAGCGGAACCACTGGGCTATGAGAGGCACGCCGGTGGTCGGCTGATTTTGTATACTTGAACCGCCTTCGTGCCATGGATGACTGGTAAAAACATACACGACCGGGAGGGTATCGAACCCCGAACCTTTGAGTCGGCACCCGACGCCTCTTCGGTCTCGGCCACCACGACCCACGTATGGGCGTCGGTGAAACGGAGAGCTTGAAGCCAGGTTTGAACCGGAAGCCACTCAAAAAGGTAAGGACATTGGGATTCGATCGCCCGATACAAGTGCCCAACAATCTTGCGGCTTCTCTTTTTTGTCTCCGCGAGGAATTAACTCTGGCAAAAATTGTAGGTTAATCGGATTCGAACCCGGGACTCGTCGCTTAGAAAGCCAACAGTTTAACCACTGCGCTACCCGAGTGCCATGCTACCTGCCACGCTAGCACCGAAACTTAAATTTGTCGAGCAGAGCAGCGTCAGCTGCCCCAGAACACCGCTTGCCAGAGGCCTGTGGCCGTTGGCGCCTGTGAGGTAGGCCAGCGGCTCTGCCAAGAATGCACCGGTGAAGAGACGGTGGCCTACCTCGCCCCTGCCACAGGGTAGGCCACGCGCTGCACGCCGGCGTGTTGCAGGGCTGGATTGTGGCCTACCTCGCAGGCGCTGAAGGGTGCAGAGTGGCTGCTGAACCTGAAGAACGATGCACTCGCGGTTTTTCATAAACTTTCTGACGTGCCATAGGGTTAACGCGGGTCACTCTAGGGATACCGGCCGAGACCGGCTAGTCCAAAAAGCACCCCACGTTACAGAGGAGTGGAACAAGAGACCACTTGAACAGACGGCCCGGGTTCGAGATTTTGCAGGTGCCTTGTTTGATTCGGGTGCCACTTGAGCGACGGATGTGGAAAGGCCGCCATGCTGATCCGGCGTCGCCAAGCGGCCCACCTGCATGCTGCCTGCCGGCCTGCCGGCCTGCCTCCCACTCGGCGCATCCTTGCTGCGATTACGACGTGCAGCACGCGTGTGTCTGGCCGCCATGGAGGAGTATACACTGTCGTGACGCGGCGCGCCACTGTCGCATTCGGTTTCCATCTCCTCGTTTGTTTTTTCTTTTCTCTCTCCGCGGACATTCCGGCATTTGGTAACGCGAAAGCATGGCCGCGCTGCCCGCGGTCGAATCTGGAGCGGCGCTGCTTTCTAGAAAAATGCCGTGCACAATGATGACAACTTTTGAGTACCGTACGCGTTTTTTCTTGCCTCTCTCTCTCAAATCCGTGACGCATAGCGCAGCGGCTCCTATCGAGGAGAAAGGCGGAGAGGAGGGGGTGGTCAAACACATTCCGGGAACTCGGTGCACGCGTCCCGGACTTTGTTTCTGCGTGTGACGACGCGTGACGGTCAACGTGAGCAGCACGCACCGCACGCCCGTGACGAGCGCGTGACGAGGGCGTGACGAGGGCGTGGGGGCGCCGCGCGCAGGTAATCGGGAATTCAAACGAAATACAGTTGAAAGTGCGTCCGCGCCATAGTGCTTGGCACGGCAGCCTACGGCAGCCCATCCATCAGCCCTATTGCCACTAAAAGATGTGTCCGCCTTGGCGGCCTTGCCGGCCTTGCCTCGCGAAGCGCCATCCTTGTCGCGGGAATTTTGTCGCACCCAGGGGAGCGACATTAGGCTGACACTTTTCACGGGAAACGAGTTGAACATTTTCAGGTATTGCTCGTCCAGCGCATTATTCACGTTGGCGGCCGATCGGACTGGCAGTCTCGCGTGCCGAGCCGAGCACAGCCGAGCACAGCCGAGCCGAGTGCATGCAGTCTTGTCAGTTGTCAGCGCCTTTCAGGCCGTTTCAGGGCCTTTCAGGTCCTTTCAGAGCCACGCCGTTACGGCCCGACTTTTCACACTCGCCCGTACAGTACGTATCTCGCACGCCACGACCCGTATGCACTGGTCACTCATGTCGCCAGTCGTGTTCAGGTTTTCCGCACTTTTCACCCCAAAAAGAACAAATTGTCGAGAATTTATCGGTGCCTCCCAAGGCGCCTCCAAGATTTTAATGTGCCGGTCACTGCTTCGCACCTACCGATCCATCGAAACCTTTGCAGGGTCGTCCGTAACTTACTCGATATGTCACTGGGGGCACACGCAGCTCGGCGTAAGTCATTTTTGCGCCGGATATGACGTCACCTCTATATCCACTGGGCCCTCTCTGAAAACCTCGTTAACATTTCGAAACAAATTATCTTTTAATTATCTGCCAGCACCTTTGTATCCCGACGGTATTTGTGGCTGGCGGCGTTTTTCCGAGTGTCGAACGACGACCGCGGCAAGTGGCCCGCCCCGCCCCGCCCGCGGTGGTAATTAATTCCCTGATTGTGCCCAGCTCGGCGCGGGGCGACAACTCGAGTTATTCGCGCGCTGCCTTCAATCAGCGCGCTCCATTTGTCAGTCCCCGCGATCTGTTTCTTTGTAATAACAAGGCGCGACTTTTAATGAACGCTGAGTGCGTCGATTAGCATACTGACCGCGCCGCTAGTGCTGTCGAATCGCCTCGGCCACGCCGAAGGGAGTTCGTCTTGACGCGATGGACGCAAACTCGTGGCGTCATCAATGGGTTCCTGCAGCGAAGGGCGGCATATCGGTGCCGCCACGTCGTGTTCGATTCGAGGGCTTCACTCCGTTACTCAGACTGATTATTGTGCCTGCTCCGTCTCGGCAGCGCTAGTCGGCCCAGTCGGCCCAGCTGGCCACCAATTACTGCTCGCGCTGATTGCCTGGTTAACGCGCCGAGCGGCGAGTGACACGTGGGAAAGGAAAGGCCGGGCGGGGCGGGGCGCATCGGCCTCACGTCGGGGCGCGTCCATGTTCTCGTGTCTGGGGGCTCACTTCGGGGAAGCGCGGACGGCGCCGAGCCCGGCCCGGCGGCCTGGCCTGGCCGTGCCGGGTCTTCCGGGTCGTTATGGGACTGGCGCGCAGCGCGCACCCTCCGCGAGGCCGTGCTCCAGTATGCGGCGGAGCAGGCCGAACAGCACACTGAGAGTCGTTTTCGTCGCTCTGTCTCTCTCGCACTCGTCGGACGTCCTCTACAGGTGCGAGAGAGACAGA